TTCTGTTATAGAGCAGGCAGGATGGAGCGTGAAGGGAGAATGATAGTAGAGGCAGTGGAAGGGATTGTAGAGGAGAAGTTAAGGAAAATGCTGAAGGAAAAGAAGGAGGAAGACAGAAAAAAGGACGAGAGGATGGAGGAACTAGAGGAGAAGGTAAGGAGGCTGGAGAGAAAGATAGAAAGGTTGGAGCAAAGTGGAGGAAAAAGGAAGAGGAAGGATAGCGAGGAGAGTATGGCGGGAAAGAAGAAATGGTGGGCAGGTGAGGGTGAAAGGAACGAGGACGACTTCAGAAAGAGGAATATAATTATAAGAGTGGAGAAAGAGAAATGGGAAGGTAAGGAGACCAACTGGGAGAAAGTGAAGGAGCTTTTCGAAGAAAGGCTGAAGGTGAAGGTGAAGGTAAGAGAGGTGATAGTGGTGGGGCAGAGAGGGATTTGGTTAACGATTTTGGTAAAGCTAGGAGACGAGGAGAAGAAGAGGAGGGTTTTGGAGGCGAGGAGAAGGGCAGGGAACTCCATAGGAGTTAAGATACACGAGGATAAGTCGGTGGAAAGGAGGGTTAGGGAGAGAGAAGAAGGGAGAAAGGAGGTGCACAAGTGCACAGGGAGATCGGCGGAGGAAGAAATCACGAGAAGGTTGGAGGAGAAGCTTCTCTTGAGCCCAGAGGAGGAGAAGGAGGAGGGACGAGAGAGGAAGCAGGCCAAATAGGGAGGAGTTGACAGGAAGGATGGAGGTGGAAGGAAGGAAGGAGAAACTGACGGCAGAAGCAGAGGAAGAAGAAGAGGGATGAAGAGGGGAGGGGAGGGGGGGTAAATATTTTTGTAAGGTTGCAAATAACCAGGCACAGGGGAAAGAAAATGTAGGAGGTTTGGGTACGTTCCTCATAAATAAAAACGCTTTGTAAACCCTACGGGGAAATGCAATAAACGGCATACATACATACATACATACATAATACACGTAAACACCGAAAATTACGGAGCGCACTATGTGGACCTCGTCATCGGCAACCTGGGACACG